ACCAAGGGGTTTAAGATGCGCTACCCACTGACATTCCCCGACACTTCTTCGAGACACGGTGGATAATCGCATTGTGGGCAAAACACAATCTCTCAAATCTCCTACTTCGACACGGCTCCTTCTCGCGATATGCTTACGCCCTTACTAAACTTTGTTCAACAAATGGGATGGTGGCACTACGCCTGAAACAGAAAAAAAGTCAAAATTCTTGGCGTTTCCCTGAATTCGACTATCCTGGGCCAAACAGGACCCCAAAATAATGCGATGAGGAGGTGGCTCAGAAAAGGATTGTCGTCGTTTGGAATCTCAGCGATGGCGGACGTATTTGCTCGCTGGAGGGATTGAAGGAATTTGCCTTAGAGAAAAAGTTGTTGAGTATTCTCCAGTACTTTCCATTTCACGCAATCTCATTCTCTACCCGCCCCTCATCCCACCCCCGCTAAATGGCAGCTTTTTGAGAAACTGGGAACTCCTAGGAAAGGAAAAGAAGTAACAATTTGAAAGAATGTTAAGACATTATAGCTCGAAGAAGAGGTGAGGTAAACGGTCGTATTTGCCAAAACGGCAGTTCGTGCCCTGCTGCTCAATGAAAGCAGGGCAAGCATGGTTCCGGAGAGCCCGAAAACACATGCCTTTCAACATGCACATTTCCAACTGAAAGCAAAATGAAATTTGGAAGTGGTGTGGGAACAAAAGAACACGCTACAGCTGTTCATTCAAAAGCTCAAAAACACCATTTGTGTCAGAAACATCACAACGAGGGAATCCCCGTGTGAAAAAGGAAATCGTTGGCTTGAACATTTTGACATTTTCAGCGAAGCGGAAACAGCGATTTGCGCCAACAGGTGCAAGAGATGTTGCCAATGAGGGGAGTGTAGCGTAAAAAAGGGGCGTCGACAGCAGTCGATAAGAGCGGCAGCCGCTGTGAGAACGTCTCATCCGATACACAGCTGGCTTGCTATATGTGGTCCGGTTCCCCACTTCATATTCATATTCTACATCGTCGATTTTCTGAGCGGTTCTTTGGTTGGCTCTGTGTGTTCTTATGGCGCTTTTTCCCAGGCGCCCACTCGAAACTTGCTCGCGTGCGAGCTTTTCTGTGTAGCAATATGCCTATTATTAAGATAGGCCGGTGAAGCATGTTCTGGCCTCACATCGACCCCTTTGAAAGATCGCGGCGCGCAATCCTTTTCCATTATGTTGCAAATGGTTTTTTCGCACTTGCGATTCGCACTTACACATGACTCGTCGAGGTGCCCGCAGCTCGATCGATAACCTTAGCGGTCTGTAATCGCTGGAACGCTATATGCCCTTATATCTTTCGCGGAGGCTGAAACCTCAGGAGGATGAGCTGCCCGTATAACGGTCTGGGTAGTAAGCAGAATGATATTTCGAGAGTTACACATGAGCCGAAGACAGCGCTCAAACGGACCCCAACCGATCCCATCTGGAAGAACGGGAGTAGGGGTACCAGAAGAGCCAGAAGAGCGAACTACACTACTGCGAGTTACCAAAGCTTAAGAACTATAGTATTACTAAAACTGTCCAGTACCATTTACCCGGCTCCGTGATCTGAGGGAGTTTGGAAGGTCCGAGCGGCCGTTTCCGACATCTGACTTCCACGTGGGCGTGGTAAGCGGCGTCAACTGCCTTCCCATCACTTCCGTCTATATGTCAACACTCAACATTGCTTATTGCCAGTTTATATGAAAGTGCAAAAGCTAATGTAGCTGGCAGCAACTAGAGCCTAATCTATTTTTAGCTCAGGGAGGCCAGAATCGAATAAACGAGAGGGTGTCAGCTGCTGTTCGTCAAAGAATGAACATAACAAGGGGTACCACAGTCACATCACACTTTGCTAGGAGACTCGTTATACAACTGCGATAGCTGAACTGTGAGCTCCAAATAGGAACAAGTGGATGTTGATTGCCTTTCTAGCATAGAAGTTGGTGGCCAAAACCATCGGAGACGTCCTTAATAAGACCTCATTATTCGAGGATTATTTGAGGAATTTGCTCTTCCGTCTGGCGGCCGCCTGGACGAGAGAGGACCTACGACCTTCAGCTGTGGTAAGCGGGCCAACGCCACTACACCACCTCCGCCTCCAGCCATGGGACTGTAGCGCAAGAAAAAGAGCAGAAAAAGTGAAAAAAATTGTGGAAAAGTTCAAAACAAAAAAAAGTAAAAACAATCTTAAGTAAAAAGGCGGGAACCTCAAATAAGCGAAAAAGCAGGAACCTCAGGTAAACGAAGGTCAGCTTTTGCTCAGTGAGCTCGATAAAATATGTGTTTTTGGCGTGTATACTTTTCATTGTTGTAGTAAAAGTAATCAAGTAAAAATTGACAGAAAAAGTCATCAAGGAAATATCCACCCTTGTAGGGAGTTCAAATTGTACAAACACCAGCTTTCTGGCCGAAAGAATCGTGAAACGACGACATGCGACAGCCGGTTTTCGGTTTTTATGTCGATAGGTGCGGCTGGCTCACACCGTGCGAGCCAACCTATTACACCCACGCGCTGCCAAAGTGAAATGAGCGATTCACTCACAAATACACTGTGACAGCATAGTGCGTTGGTTGCACGAGGGGTTTATGCCGCAATTGTAAACGCCGCCGCAAATCCGATTACATAAACTGTGAGGAATAACTATGACATCACAGCGCTCAAAATTATAGCAAGAACTTTCCTCTAGCGCGCTTCGGAAAAAGAAAAGGATAAGTATAAGTTTATTACGTGTGCATAAGGCATACGTGAGAAAAAAGATCGGAACACATTACATATACAAGTTCCAGTATTGATAAGTTAGTTACAATTTTTCGAAAACAGTAATAACCAGCAAAACACCAACTTATCGACCAGTCTCAAGAGAGCTAGACCCACCATACCTTAATAACATTTTGGAAATATAGCGTCGAACTGAGACGCGCAGGTATGGTTTTGTTAACTTCAATACGCGCTGCCCGCCGAAGGTGAAGCTCTGGTACGCTAAATTAGTCTTGCGGTTTTGCACGAATAGATCTTCATGGAACCAGCTCGTAGCTGTTCGAAATGAAACTTCTGTGTTCGAATGAACCATTCTGAAGACATTACTGGAACCAGACCCATGCAATCTTTTAATAAGCTTGTGGACTAGACAAAGATCAAAAACCTTCCGTATGGATTCCAGAGATGACAACCGTAGGAGTTTATTCCTGTTTGGGGCATTCGGCATTTCTGAGTAGACAAAGTTACTAGTTCTAATCATTAATTTATGAGTGAAGCTATTTTGTACCCTCTCAAGTGCGTAAATGTGCTTATTTTTCGTAAGACTGAATACCGTACCCTTCGTGGCCCATAGTGTAGACCGTGCTGACCAGATCAAGTGTCCAGGTGATCCGATTAGATGCAAATCGAGGCTTTTCGACCAAGGACCAGATAGGGCGCAGATGGGAGATACAAAGATAAAGATGAAGATGTGGTCAGTACGGTAGTATTTCAAAGGAATGAATTTCCAAAGGCGACCACATACATGTACTTCACAAGACTCGCCTTCATTCCAAGTTTCAAAAGGACAAGTCGAAGCCCTACACCTTGCTCCCATGAGTTTCCCAGCCCTTCCATTGGTTTCATATATTGGCCCACAACACAAAAACTGAGTTTCTTCTGTTTCTGCTGTATCACTACCATACAAATTTTGGTTTGTATTCTCTGCATTCCTTTTTGTTTCACATGATAAAATATCCGAGCTCAAACATCCGATACAAAGGCTTGAGAGGCGCAGAGTACATTCGCTTGTTGGGATAGTCCAAAAAGGGACCCACTTCCTAAAAAGCTTCTCACGTTTTGCCTAGGGCTGAAACTTGGAAGGACTTCTTACTCGACCGCAATCGATTCCTATTGCTCATTATGCCCAGCATGGGGTCATTCCAATACTCTCTAGTTGTTTTTCCGCAATGGAATGGAAATGGTCAGTGATTCCCTGTAAGCTTCACAAAAAAAACATTTTGCTGACAACGGAAAAAATTGGAGCCCCATACATGCACCAAGCCCATAGAAATCCATGACCTATAAACACTTGAAAGGGCGCTTCCTGTTTTTGGGGAAAACTTCTGCAGAACAGCTCTCCTCCAAGTTTCCCCTGGTACCACCCCTCCCTTCCTCACGCTACCTATCATCTTCCTAAGGTCTTCCAACTGCCGCCCGTAGTAGTGGGAAGTCGCCATCGAAAAAGTATTAGTTGCGACTATCGAAAATAGTGATATGGGACTTTAGGTGCGCCACCAACTAGGGAATATGGGCTATGAAAAATTCTCAGACCATATTCTTCCCCTTGCTGCAGTAAAAAACGACCCACCGATGGGTGATTCCCTTCCTCTGGCTCAATATAATCGCAATCCGGCTTGGCAGTGTCAGGAGGCGCGGGACGACCCCACCGGCGGCATTTCCTATCACTGGTGGTTTTTTACCTGAACGGACTACTAATGTTATAAAACGAAGACGCGACTGAGCTCATTATTTTTGCCCGTACAGTTATTCTGCCAGGCGACTGCAGACATATTTTGATACCGAGAGGTACAGAAATGGATGGTTCGGCTTGTTCTGAAGAGGTTTTGTCGCTCCTGTGATAGCGGCGTCTCTCGCTCTCCTCTTACTGTATTCCTTGCAATGCTGCTGGTCAATCCTTTACAAGCGCATACTGCTAGTGTTAATCAGCATAATAAAGATTATTGGTAGCCCAGTGAAAACACTGACCCATAGTTCTCTGCGAGTTTTTTGGAGCAGACTGGCAAGGGGCTCAAGTTTTCGCGCTCCAATCGATATTAAAGGGCGCAAGTACAGAATAGTTTCGAGAAGAACATTACGCTGTTTCCTCGATTGTCTCTCAATTGTTCCTCACAAATTGTGGTTTCTCTTCTTCTTCTCGCTCTTGTTCTCGTGCTCATCGTCTGAGCAACTGATTTTCTAATCATATCGCATGTGGTCTTTATCAGGGTAACTGTTCGACGGCCGGCGTGCAAAGATGATGCGACCACCAATAATTCTTCTCAAAGAAGGGACTGAAAATAAGCAAGGCAAACAGCAGATCATTTCCAACATCAATGCTTGCCAGGTATATATCCGTTTCCTGCTTTTTTTGGGGAGGAGCGCTGCCACTAGCATTGGACTTGATCACAATTAGGACTCCACAAGATTCCGTATTGTAGAGCTTGTATATACAAGCAATTTTTATGTAGTGAGATGTTCCAGAGCTTCATGGAATTTGCATATTGCATATCCAGCTCTTCATTGAGCAATAAAAGTCGCTAAAAGCACTGCGTATGGTTCAATTCACGCATAGGGCTAAACAACACTCCATATCCCGGACATGGAGAGGTCGTGGCTGCGTGCTTTATTTGAACGTGGCAGCTGCACTTTGGTGGTATATTCTCGTTTTAGAACAAACGTGTTTATGTCTTTCAAACACAAAACATTATGACGCGTGCCTCAAATAGAAATATTCCACGGAAAACTAATTCTACATCATGCTGAGATGAAGTACGCTGCCATGCCCTCCCCATCTTTGGGATATGAAGTGTACAAGTAGTCTTCCAGGTGTACCTCTGAATACCACCGCTCACACGTGCAATTCTTTCCCGGCCGGCTTGTATAGAGTTGGACTCTCTTACACCTGCAGCTTGGTTTCCAGCGTACTCTAGTCATTGTCAAGGAAAAGATCTGCTAGAAACTTACAAATTTTAACACATTGGCGACAAGGCGCCTTTTCGCGTGTCTGCCGCGTGGGACCAAGCAGTTTTTCCCTATTTTCGAAGAATGCGCATAAATGCTAGGGCGTTTATACACCAAAACAATTGAAGAAGAACTAGAATTCAATGCAGAAGCTAGTAAGGCTTCGCTGTTTTTGTTTACTTTCAAGATAAACCCTAAAATTTCATGGAATACTCCCGCCTCATTCACGTGGAGCGTGGGAACAAGGTCGCAAAAAAGGAATATTTTCGCGCCAGAGGTGATAAATTGGATTCGATCCAAATCTGTCACCGTATCTGCATGTGGAGCTTCATTTCTATGTATTCGGAAAAGAGCTTTTTTTCCTAGGGAAATCACTTGCATTAGTCTCTGCATGGTTTACAGCTACTGTATATTCTACAATGCCTTCATGGACAATATGCAGCTGTTGAAAATTCGAAACGTCTTCAAATTGGTTTTTTACCCATGCCGCATCCCAGCAGTGGGACGCAATATCGCCAGCGTGTTAAACCACTGAAGACCGAACTAATTGGAGATATCCCCAATCAAGGCTTTATCCACATCCTTTTGGTAGCGGTTACACGCTTTCTAATGTTCCAACACAGCTCGCCCGTGAGATTGGTGTGGTCGCTGATTTGAAGGTGAATCTAATGAAGCTGACAAAGCCATATGAACGTCATGGGTGTCCATTAGAAGCAAAGAAAAACAAACATTCAAAGGAATACACAAGTTCATGCCAGACGGACTACAGGTATCTTTTCTTCAGGTCGTAGCCGACAGTATTCGCACTACTTTGGGTCCTAGAGGATTGGATAAACTGATCGTTGACAGCAAAGGTCGGTTTCACTGTCACTTTACGCTCATTTCTTTATATTTCCTTTTTTTTAATTTGAATTGTAAAAGTAGATGGCACGTACCATTGACTGTTAACAATGAGCATTGTAGTAAGAGAAAATCATGGTTCACGTTAAGCCCTAGCCTATTCCTTGTGTTCCATGAACTAGTTAATATATGCTTGATCTCATATAGAAGTGCATAGCTCCTTTTGCGCGATACTCTTTCTCAAACTGTGTTAGGGTACATAATCATTGAGGGGTTCTCATCTCAATGATTTATTTGTAGGGATTCTCAGCGATCAGTATGGATTGGAGTCCGTCCACAGGATGGGGTCGTACTTGGTGGTTATGGTTCTAGAAATCTTGGAATTTAGCCAAGAATGAAAAGCTTCTTAAGTGTTCCACACAGGACACGTCCTACGTGGGGATATCTCTAGCAGGGGTCGCATTTTGCTTGAGAATTTTTTTGATTGTCGATTTTTTTCTGGTAGACGCGCACTTTCTACATGTTGGGTAAGCTTCTACAGGCGGAAATCGTATTTAACATCAAGAGGTGTCTTGAAAAAAAAGTTGGGCGATTGTTGAATTTTCGTTGTGCTTCCCGTTTCATACGTGCTATATAAGTATACCCCCCGCCCCGCTCCATGCCCTGATTCCAGAACTGTTTCTGGTGTTGAATATGTTCTTGTCTGCCGAATTGGGGTCAGAGGAGAGGAGAGGTATGGGCAACATGAAGGTAAACGTTCAGATTGAAGCAATGTCGCACTACAGCAGTGGCGGATAAAGAAGATGTGGTTCTGAATAATTACCCCCCCCCCCTTCCTGATGTTCCTTTCATACGGCTCAAGCAGAGCTGTTGTTCGTTCGAATTCTCGTTGTAAGCGAGCTGTGCATACCTCTGGATTTCAGGTAAGACGACTATTTCTAACGATGGCGCAACCATCTTGAAACTTTTGGATATCGTTTTTCCTGCTGCCAATGTCATGGTCGATATTGCCAAATCTCAAGACGCTGAAGTTGGTGATGGAACCACATCAGGTTAGTGTGCAGCTTGAACTGATTTCAAGCGCATTTGTAAAAAATGTGAAAGTGTACGCTTCAGTTGTTGTGCTAGCCGCAGAAATTCTCAAAAGGATAAAGCCCTTCATCGAGGACGGAGTTCATCCGCAATTACTTATTCGTGCAATAACTAGAGCAAGTGAAGAGGTCAGCATTATCGCTCTGTCCGAGTGTTGTGTGCCCATTACTAAACTGCATCCTTAAGGCTCTGAGTTATCGGATCACTTAGCCTAAGATCGAAGGCGAAGAGGAACTTCGGGAAATGCTGGTCAAATGCGCAATGACCACACTCAGCAGCAAACTTGTAAGTTTTGCCATTTCGGGTTTGCTTTGTTTCGTACATTCTGTAAATCTTCTGCTTCATTCTGTGCATGTTGAACAGCGTTGTGTTTATCGCTAGTGCTTGAGTTTTTTTTTTCTTCGTGGGAACTTTCTTTCGACTTTGCATGAGGAAATTTTCCCCTTGACTTTCTTATTTATTCAAACGCAAACTTTCGGAAGTTCCAATACACTACAGCGTATGACGTGTGCTCATAAATCTGTTCCGCTAGAGTAATGTTTTTTTTTCTTGCTGGACTGATGTAAAAAAAGTCTCCGCATCATTCAGTTCAGACTCTTTATTGAAAGGGTAGTGATGCTGCATGGATATATGAGTACACATATGCAGCCGTACCTTCGGTAGCGGTTATTGGCAAGATGCCTACGGGAAACTCGTCCAAAATTGATTACTAACACAGAACGGAGGCTCTTTTTCGCAGGATTTTGACCGTTTCACTCCGTTCTTTCGCCATTTCCCCACTATATAGCGCCCTACTAGCATTTTAGGCCGAGCACCAAATTATCGTGCCAACTGCCTTTGAGCCGCATGACCTAACATCATTGAACGCAGAGCGAGTCCTTGAAATTTTTTTCTCGCTCTCAACTTTATCGTACCAGTTGTGAAACTCGACCGCGACTGTATTGAAATCCAGAGGATCCTCCCTACTATGGTCTATTACAGGTGAGTCAGGAGCGCAGATTTTTTGCTGAGATGGTTGTAGACGCAGTGAACATCCTCGATGAATCCCTACCACTCAACATGATAGGAATCAAGAAAGTTAGTGGTGGAAATTTGAACGTGAGTTTTGCCGATACCTAGGAACTACTGATGCTTGCTCATATCATGCTGTTGTTCCCGTTTAGGAGTCTCGTCTCGTCAAGGGTGTGGCCTTCCAAAAAGCTTTCAGCTACGCAGGGTTCGAAATGCAGCCAAAACACTACAAGGACCCACTTGTTGCTTTACTTAATATCGAGCTGGAGTTGAAAGCAGAAAAAGAAAATGCCGAAATGCGTCTTACTACAGTCGAGGATTTCCAGGCGGTAAGTATATTACGAACTGAGCAGAAATTTGTTGAAATTCGAGGAACAGTAATGTGACCTGAAGCTGGACTATAGAGTCCTGCAAACATAACTTAAGGACAGACCTCAGTCAATCAATGCGCAAACATCTCCTTGTTCAGATAATGTGGTCCACAGTCTTTGAGATTGTCCGACTCCCGAGCGCTACGGCCTTCATAAGCTCAGTAGCGCTAGTTGTACTGCTTACCAGAAAATGTCTCC